GAAAAACCATGGGGGGGGGGGTCCATCCGACCCCCCCTACACATGCGAGGGTTAACATTCAAATAGTTAGTGTTTTCTTAATTTCTTTGCAGTATGTTTGCCCGCTCCACCACTGATGGCCTGATTTTCCCGCCTCCTGCACGGCAGCCTTGAGGGACATCGACAAGTGGTCGGCCAGAATGAAGGCTCCCATGATCGAAATGTACGGAGAAGAGTATTTCCGCTCCACGTGGAACGCCTGGATTGATGGAATATCAGCATTCAAAGACATCGAGTAAGAATTTTATAGGGCTGTCGGGCAGCGCTTTAGCTAGTTTATATATTTTTTATATCATACTTACATTTGTATGCAATAATACGTTATTTAAAGCATAGAGATCTTATAAGACCTCTATGATTTAAAGAGGACGGCGATTATTTTTTTAACGTTAAGATGGGATTAAGCCGATTGCCAGCAAGACTTACGCATTACCCTCCGTCAATAGCTGTCAAACTAACATTTAAAATTATCAATCTTGGTGAGAGTTACGGCGCAATGCTGTATCGCAGGATCATATGTGCATTATTCAACCATTTCTCTCGTCATTTCTCAATCGTTACGTTGATGTTTCACAGAAACGGCGTCTGCAGAAAGGAGACGAGCGAGATTCGCTGTCCGACGCTGGTGGTGCACGGAGCGAAGGACGCCATGGTGCCTCCCGAGCACCCGGAGTACTTCAAGCAGCACATCCCCGACGCCAGGTCAGAGCGTGTCCTGTACCGCAGGCCAGCTGGAGGTAACATGTCCAGCAGCTTAGTAGCTTAGCTTTGACATGCTAGGCGAATCACCTGCCCTTATGGCGCGGTAGCGAGGTTCCAGGCGAAGCGCGTTTCGAGCTTCCGCCTGGACAGCTAAACGGGGATGATCCTAGTTCATTGGCAGCTAAGGGCGTGCTGGTCGTTATGAAGTCGTTTGCTTGGCCAACACGCTCAGAATCCCGTATTTCGCCATATGTCCCGTATTTGTGACGTCCTGACAATCACAAATATTAACGGAATATCAGCATGGCTGTGGTACATACCACAGCCACCCCCTCACTAAGCAATTAAACTTCTTTATCGTAGTTCGGTATTTGAAATAACCTTATTGTGGAAATGTAGGTATTTAGTATCTTGCTGACTGTGTACATAATGTCTTAGAAACATGATACCTAAATACGCCATAGGTTTCACCGCAATAGTATTATGTTTTCCATATCCAAGCGTAACGCCTCAAACAATCTGGTGCCTATGCATTTCCGTTCATGGGCAATGCACATGCCATTCTAAAAAATATTATGTGGTCTTTGTCTTCCAAGTATGTATTGATATTATTATCTATGAATTAATCACAAAGTTGATATTGAATTATCAGTGCCGTGCAAAGGAAAAGAAGGGTGAGATGCCATTCTGCCTGAAGATTAAAATTTTCGGGAGAGCGAAAATTGTGTTGCCGGGTATAATCGACCGACCACTTCTGTAATTTCTGTTTTGTTCCAGGTTGCACGTGTTTCCAGATGGCAAACACAACCTGCACATGAAGTATGCCGACGAGTTCAACAAACTCGTGAGGGACTTTTTGGCAAAGTGATCAGCCTGAGGGGACCATCATTTAATGAAATGTCACCCGAAGACAAGTCGTACATCGTGAGTGTTGACGGAGATGCACTTTGGGCGTTATAAAAAGTTAGTCTGCGGAGAAAGGCTGGGTCAGTTGAGGTTTTTGCTGAAGAAAGCGCAGTAATGTTATGTTGCGGCAATCCCGGGGACTGCTGTATCTATTAGCGCTGTGTTCGTGCCTACATATATAAGCAATAGCATTGGCTGAAAAGACTGCTGGAATGCAGTATGCATAAGCCGTATGTGACCGGCTGGCTTGCACCAGGGCTTAATAATTCATTTTGGCTGTCTGGATTGCCTCGCTTAGTTAACGCAATATATTTTTGGGATCTACCGGCGGATTCACGATCTGCATGTGCTGTGATGACGATACCTATTTGCGTATTTTGTAGTAGTTGTTGATGGGCTATTAGACTCAAATACATCATCATTGCTGACCTTGTTTTTATGAGATGTGGATGTATGTAAGGTACTCATAATCCCAAAAAGGCTTGACAACAAGCTTTCATTCAGCATACATATCCAAAGGCGCGATATTACGCTTATGCGTAGGCCGCCGTAGATATTAGATGACGTAGATTTAGCATGTAGCCCCAATATAATCGAAAGTGCCTAAACGTTTTGGAATGCGAAGGTATACAGTAGGTATACTTGTAGGTACGTACAATAAATCTTGGCTCGCTTCGCGTCGCGTTGGCCATAAAATGAAGGAGAAAATTTGGGACCGATTGGTGTTCGTCCCGTGTTGATCGGACGTCTATAAGCTTAGATATTCGCGAAAAACTTGTTGAACTTTCTGAAATACCTGCCAGCTTGCTGTATCACCTGGGGCATTCCACGATAGATCGTACCACTTTTTTCCAATTTGACACCCTCATCTCTCGGAATTTGACGGGAATTGGTCTCAGGGGTAATCAGGGGCTCTGAATCCACCTGTAACAAGTTCAGGCTTATCAGATAAGTATTTTTTGAGTTATGGTGTATAACATTTTTTGGATCTTGCTTTGCAGCGCTAAGTTTGGCGGGCTGTAACTCTAAGACAGATTATTCAAATGTCAAATGTTATATAACATTGTACTTGCAATGAAACAGAGATTAATATGTATTTTTGAAATTTCGAAAAATACGTTATTTTTGATATATGACATATCGAGTTTTATTTCATTTGTATTTTTTGGACTTTGGGACCAAATTTTTTTGAATTTTTATTTCTTTAAAAAAATATTTGGCTCATTGTTAACAAATATGCAAAAAATTAGGAAGGTGTTCTTTCGATAAATGTATTTTTTTACGTCACGATAACGGTTTCGAATAGTGATTTCGGGAGGGGAGCTTACAAATGGCGTGGTAAAGCTGCCTAGTGACATCACGGGTTACTGAAATTTCAATTGAAGTCTGAGTCATCTGAAAAAAGTGAAAAGAGGGTTCATCCAACCCTCTTTCCAATAAGCGCGAGGGTGAAAAAGGCTGTTTGGTTCTGACATTGTTTTGGACGCCAACGACCATATCTGTCCGAGATGAAAGTTACAGGACGCATACATGGTGTCCTCCAGAGGTCTCACAACTTGTATGTCTGGGAATTTTTAAGGTTACGTGAGGTCAGGTCGGTCACGTGACATCACTGTTATAAGTCAATGGGGAAATATAAAAACTGTTATTTTGGCGCCGAGAATGATCTAAAACTATCCCACGTGTATGGTTTCGTGATTTCATGCACTTCTTGCAAAGTCCAAAGCTTTTCTTTTGCATTGGTAACTTTGCGACGTCACTAGGGTCGTACGAGTTTTTCGTCAATAACTCCCGATCAAATGGAGCTAGAGAGTCGGGAAAGACCTTCCGAATCGAATGATATGCCATATGATACCCTTTGCCCAGCTTCATGACCTGAGGGGCTCTGACCTGACCTTGATCCGAGGTCAACTACTTAAGTTGACCTCAACCTAGCAAAAATTATACCATTCGATGCACCTGAGCTAGGTGAACACAATGATGCCAAAATCGCGGCTCTGCGGCCATTTTTTGCGAAGTTATTTACTAAAAACCGAACCCGTAACTTCAGTCACTTGACCTGACCTCAGACGCTACCGGTTAAATTGAGACCTTAAAATCGGGTATTAATCGCTGCGACTTGTTGCGGCACACACGCTCGTTTTTTTCCGCGAGGCTCTAGCTCCATCAGAAGCGAAACGGCGTGCTGGGGTCGTGTCAACCCCTCCGAAACCCATTTTGTTTGCGGGAAAATGAGGATTTTATAGAAAGAACACCTTTCTAATTTTTTGCATGTCGATTTGCAATGACATAAGGTTTATTTTAAAAAAAATAAAAATTTGAAAAATTTTGGTCCCAAAGGTCATTAGAGGCAAATGAAAAAAGATTAAGGTTTTTGCTCAACAATGAAAATTTTTCTTTGGAATTTTTAAATGGTAATATTGATTTTTGATTCTTCGCAAGCTTAGTGTTGTTTACTGTTTGTTGGTAGCTTAACCCGTTCTTGAGTTATAGGCCACCAAACTCACCGTTACAAACCGAAGTTAAAAAAATGTAATGCAATATAACTCAAAAAGTTTTGATCTGAGAAGTCTGATATTTTGCCAGGCGTCTTTGGGGCCTATGATTACCCCTAGGACGGATTTTCATTAAAATCTGAGAGATGAGGGTGACGGGCCTGGTACGATCTATCTTGGAATGCCCCACCTGTTACTTGCTAATGTACTGAATACTTGCTAATTTACTGAAAACTCGCTAATTTACTTGGTATTTACGTGCCTAAATACCGCGAAAAAAAAAAACAATTTACTGATTTGACACCGCTGCTCCGCGTATGAATGTCAGCTATGTGCAACTGCAACGAGATGTTCAACACTCACGCTATGCCATGGACCTCAGCTCAAAATCATATCTATTTAGCGCTAAAAAAGCTGTCTCGCTCAATATGAAAGCAATAAAGCTGTCATATTTGATTCATGGTAGAATAGGTATGCCAGCTAGACTCCGAGATACGAGACTCATAGTTCTGACGTAAGACATTTCTCTTCACTTCCATAGAAGTATATACCCTGGTCTTTCATGTGCTCTAGGCGATCTTTAGTAGCTCCGAAACCATCGTTACGTCCCGGTGGTTTCTCTTCAAGATAGGGTGATTTTAATCAATGGATCGCTTTCGGTGCCTGGGTAGCCCCACAAAGGAGCGGGGTGATCGGTAGTAGCTGAGAAGCGCTCGGAGGTGAGTCCGATGTAAGTTGGTCTGTCCGATTTCCCTCTTGGACCAGTGACCTTTTCGATGCCCCCTTACTCCGGATAATGAACAGCGATTGGACACTTATTATCATCGTGTCGCTGACTTTACCTCGACGCTCTTACCTCACGCTTTCACAGCATCGCTGGCCATTGGCCCGATCAACGCTCTGTAAGTGTATCATTGGGCGCTTGGGAATCGGTTTGACTTATGCTCAATGGTCGTCCTAAAAAGCCCAGTGTTCATCTGACACTAGTGATCGTTTAGCTGCAACATAGATGACTATCAAAGTTGAAATACTTAAGTGTTATGTTTATGATGTAGGAAATAGGGATATCGAAATGGCGTGTAATCTCTGAAAGGGTAGACCAGCAGCGGCGGAACACCTTCAATTAAGGGGGGGGGGCAATGCCGACTTTTGGTCCCATTCTTTCCATGCAACGCCCTAAGGCTAATCTTAAAATGCCAAAATCAAAGGAGGGTGCACGGTGCCCCGGTGCCCTCCCCGTTCCGCCGCCTATGGGGTAGACTTGAAAATGTAATACAGTTTGCTGTAAGTGACTAATTAGTTTTTCGTTTGCTTAAAAAAATCACAGAATATGATTAAATGAGTTATTTTGAAGCATAAAGGCTCAATAATGTTGCGGACGTTTATCCCACTTGGCTGGCTACTTGAACTGGTGCATTGACTTCTAATGATTACGAAAATTGAGGCTACGAGCGTGAGCACTGAGCATGGCAAATCTTACGCATGTAACATCTACTGTCATTCGGATTTGCCCATTGCAATCCACCATTGCCTGTACTCAATATCTCATCGTTTTGCTTAGTTATATTGCCGTTATTCCACAACGCATTTATTTCTTTTCAGGTTGAAAATGCCTAAAGTCAAGGTAAATGATACGCTAATCAACTATGAGAAGGCTGGGAGTGGTTCCACAGTAGCTCTCTGCATACCCGGAGCCCTTGGTAAGCCCTTCGCTGTCACTTTTTGCAACTTTTATGTTACAGTTAAACGTATGGAACGGTGATCCACGGCAAGGCGCCAATTATATTGAGGGACATTCGCCGCTAGCTTTTTCACGTTTGGTAATGGTGGCTTGCTAAGAGCATATTGCATGCCACATGGGGAGCAGGTAGGGTATGTTCAATCCAGCCTCTTATGTCGTGAATTTCTGTTGCCTTCTTGCCTGCAGACGGCGCACCCTTTCATTAAGTGCAGTGTGTAGTCTGAGTGCATGAAGACGCAAGGGCGGATCTAGGGGAACGTTTTGGGGGGGGTCACCAGTCGGCCGACATGCCAGGTCTGATGAATGAATTCTGACGACCGGGGGGGGGGGGGGTAGGGAGCGAGTATGTCGAGATCCAATGACATTTGATCTTCGTCGTTTCTGAGTTGAAGTTTTATCGTAAGTCACTCGGCTCAGTAGTTTTAGTTAGTGAAACCCACCTATAGAGGAGCGTCGCCACGGATTTTTTTACTGGGGGGGGGGGCGGATCGACCGACTTAAAAACCCAGAAGTAGTAGATATAGTTACCTCACTTATGCATTAGTCTAATGCCCAATGCATTAGTAGCATACAGTCACGATCTCTCTTATTGACCTGTGTATGAATCGGCGGCGCGAAGCGCCGCAAAAATTTGAAAAAAGTTGTCAAAACACAGCTCTAAAACACAAATATTACAACCCTTTTAGCATGCTAGTACAAGCCGGAGTTCCTTCACAGTGCACATATGAATTCCGATTCAATTTGACACGGTTGGTGTTATTACAGTCACGATCTCTCTTATTGATTGGTGTATAAATCGGCGGCGCGAAGCGCCGAGAACATTTGCAAAAGAATGTGTCAAAACACAGCTCCGCTCCAAAACACAAATTTTACCACCCTTTTAGCATGGCAGTACAAGCCGGAGTTTCTTCACAGTACACATATGAATTCTGATTCAATTTGACACGGTTGGTTTATGTAATTACAGTCACGATTTCATATTGACCTGTACGTATGTACATGAATCGGCGGCGCGAAGCGCCGCGAAAAATTTGCAAAAACATTTGTCAAAACACAGAGGGGGTCTCCTCTCTACAGAGGACCACCGATCTCTACTGCGGGCCTCCTCTTTTCACAGGGCCTCTTAACTACAGAAGGCTTCCTCTCTACAGAGGGCTTCCTCTCTACTGAGGGTCTCTCCCTTTCAGAGGGCCTCCTTTACAGAGGACCTCCTCTCTTCAAAGAGCCAGAGGACCTCATCTCTGCAAAGGGCTTCCTCTCTTCAGAGGGCCTCTTCTCTACAGAGAGCCTCCTTTCTTCAGAGGGCCTTCTCTCTACAGCGGGTCTCCTCTCTTCAGAGGGCCTTCTGCATTCAGGCGGTCTCCTTTCCACAGAGGGTCTCCTCTACAGAGGGCCTCCTACCTACTGAGGAGTCAGAGGGGCCGACACAGACACTAGCGGTTATTCACTGGAGGCCCCAGGAAGTAAGAAGGGCCCTAGCTGTCAGGCTGGTCAGAGTGCCCTGAATGTCCTGACGTGATTTTTGGGATTCCCGTGAATTTCTTTCGCCTCCGACGTGATTTTGACCTGCCAGGGCCCAGGGGCACTAAAAATAAAACAAACAAAATAAAAAAATGGAAATAGGACATCACCAAAATTAAGTGGCCGAAATCCGTTGAGTTTTTAATTTTGCGTATAGGTAGGGGCACCACGAATTAAATTCATGACCATCCCCTTGGAGTTTTCCTGGATCATCCCCTGGTGCTCGCACGGTTGAGACAAAAATGAGTAAGATTCTGGCCTTCAATACGCCTTTTCACGCAACACGATCCAGAAAAACAAAGGTATTAGCTCAGAAGTGTTTGACATGTGATTTTGAGCATGCAAGACGGCGTCTATAGCGCATTTAGGTCTTCGGCTTTTGGGGGGGGTCAAATGACCCTCTCAGACCTTTTGGGGGGGGTCATGACCCCGTGGACCCCCCCCAGGATCCGCCACTGTGAAGACGGCATACAACCATTGTCATTAATCATTATGTACTTCCTCTCAGGCTCGGCGCTGAGCGACTTCAGCCCCCAGCTGAAGTCTCTGGCCGGTCCGGAGCTGACCCTGATCGCCATTGACCTGCCCGGCTACGGCCTGAGCCGTCCGCCGCCGCGTCGGTTCGGGCCCGACTTCTACACGGACGACGCGCGAGTGGCCGGTGACCTGATGGAGGTGCGTGTCGCCGCGGACAGGTGCCGCCGGCCGCAGTCAGTCGGGGATCTCTCGATGTTCAGCACGGGTGTGACCGGTTTTCAGCAACCGGGTCTAAATGATTCCAATGCAACCAGCAATCTTAGTCACCAAGATAGCAAAAACTTCAGTTCTGCGCAACCGTTGTGCACGTTTTAGCATATCCTTATTTGTTTACTTGTATCGGGAGGGTTTCACCAGACGCTTGTGCGACTCTTCCTGACCGATTGTGTGTCTCAGGCGCTGGGCTACGAGCGCTACCACGTGCTGGGCTGGAGTGACGGCGGCAACTCGGCCGTCATCCTGGCCGCCCTCCGGCCGCAGAGCGTCACCAAACTCGTCATCTGGGGAGCCAACGCCTACTACACCGACAAACTCGGCAATGTCGTAAAAGGTAGCGAACAAAATCATCCCGCTCATTCGTGTTCGTTTGTTTCGCTCATTCATTCATTCACCCATTCATTCATTGATTCATTAATCCAGCCATTCATTCATTTATTCATTTGTTCATTCATTCATTCACTCATTCATTCATGCTTATTGCTAACCCTCCACGTTTAATATGCATGGTCGCCACTCGTATCGTGCATTGTTTGCCGTGCATTACCAGCAATCTAAAAAAATGTTCCTTTCAGTACCACAGCCAACCCTGTGTGCTCACACCCAGTGTGTGTTCTCTGTGTTCTGCTGCGCCTGACCTGTGACGTGCGGTGCGGTGACGGCTCTGTCTCTTTTCCGTTACCGGCAGCTATGAGGAACATAGAGGACTGGCCGGAGGCGGACCGGGCGCCCATGCTGGAGCTGTACGGAGAGGATTACTTCCGATCCATGTGGACGGAGTGGGTCGACGTGACGCTCGCCTTCAAAGACGTCAGGTGAGACCGACATGGCATTGACAGATCCTTACATCTTATTTTGCACGATGTGTTGATGTTTTGTAGGGTAGTGTGGGGTAGTTTGAGCATATTTTTACGTCTTCTCCGTTGTACCAAATTCCAGCTTAACCCTGGATGAAGAAAAACTACTTCAGTAGCGCAAGTGTCACTTGCTTTCACCATGCAAGCCTCATTTTTGGACGAGCCGAGCATGCCTTGAAAAGCATAGCCTCACTTCTCCACCAAGTCACGGTGTGTTCAAATGGCCCCACCGTGGGGTAATTTGAACATACTGCCTTTACCTGTCATAAAAACGATAGTCTCGCCAACGCCGATGTTGTTTGACCCATAAACAAATAGGCAGAACAATTCTAAACATACTTTCACTTGAAAAATCAACACAACAACAAAAATGACAGTTGCAGAGTATCAATATCTGCACGCTGCACACCGGTCAGTTGACAGAATTCGCCTGTCTTCAATTAACAGAACGTCTATCATTTTTGTTCGATAAAAACTCTCCCATCCTTACTGCATCTGTTATAGTGGTGCCAATCGAAACCTGGACATTTGGAGTTCTGATTTTGTCCAATGTCCAATTCGGAATTGGTAGGACAAATGTAGCAGATTGGACAACATTGGACGATGGCTTGCTACACTTCAGCGCTTTTTATAAAGTAATCATGCATAGCATTGATTGGCGAATGGAAAGCTTGGTAAGCTCTCAATATAATGAACACTTTTCGGCTGGTAAAAGTACATTATAAGCAATTTAAATGACAGTTTTGAGTGTTTATTAATGCGTAATTTTCGGACATATTTGGACAAATGGCTGACTTAAACATTTTTGAACGGAAATCAACAAAAACGCCGGACATTAGACGGATATTAGACGTAAATTTTATCAAACTGGCATCACTTATCTGCTACTGCTTTGGGTCGAAAATATTGGCAAAAAAAATACTAGGAGCGTTGTTTTTTTCGGAGCTATCCCTGTCTTCATTGAAATTCCCACACTATGTTCAAATTACCCCACGCTAAAAGTTATTTTGCCATATTTAAAAACAGGTTTCAAAAGCAAATTTCTTGGATTGAAGGCACTGATTAGGTCATTGTACAACAAAAGCCGTTGCGTATTTGGCGCTAGCAATGCAAGATTTTGCGCTGCAATGAAGTTGCAATAACGTGTTTTTAGGCGTTTTTACTTGCGAAATTGATTTTTTACAGTGTGCGTCAGCATCTTCATTCCATGAAACTTTAAACCCCGTTCATATGATTGCCCTTCTAGTTACGATAATTTCCCTCATTGGTCATATTGTCATGCCACTTATGGATTTTCCGTAATTTTGTGTTTTTCACACTATGTTCAAATTGCCCCACATGTTCAAATTACCCCACCCTACCCTATTATAGGTATGACTTTATAGCATAGACTTCTATGCAATACAGTGGTTCTGTCCATTTAATTTCTATTGTACCGAAAACATTTCTCGGCATAAATCCTCAGTTTCGATAAGTAATAAGACATGTAAAATTTATCTTACCGTTCATTTCAGGCTCTCTTTCTTTTTCTTTTCGTAAAACGATTCTGTTATAGATTGTTTCACGTTATTGATCTTTCTTACAAACATTTTTTTCTTCTTCTGGCAGCAATGGAACCTGCATGCGTGAAACTCGTGAAGTACAGTGTCCCACGCTGGTGGTACACGGTGCAAAGGACGAATACTTTGAGATGGAAGATCCGGAGTACTTTGTGAAAAACATCCCCAACGCCAAGTGAGTACTATCAATTCGTTCTCCTCATGAGGAGTGGCGTCTGATTGTGGACCTTTTCAATTCCTGTATGTATTTATTGTAGGCAAGTCACATCAGCCACAGGCCAAGGGCAAGGAAGGGCTCACGGGGATCGACGGTAGCACGGAATACAGTCTCCCGAGTTAAACTGTAACACGGGTCATCATGTAGTGTCCTCAAGAGCCCTGAATCATTTCCCAGGGAAGAGCGAGCTTGAGTTCTTTCTGCCAGAAACCTCGCACTAAATCGTTTGTAACATTGCGTTTCGTTCCCCATGATCCCAGGAGAAAGGCAAACGAATACGAAATACGCATCACGCACGCTGTCAGCCTCTGCGTTTCAGCAAAATATTGAACGTTTAGCGTTAACAAATTCGTTATTGTACGGATTAAGTGTTACGGCCTGCGCGCTACACTATGGCCTTTATGTTTTCAATAGCAATCACTTGGTGTATTACGAAAGTAAGACCCATGCTAACATATTAAGCCCAGTCCTCCAGTTTGTGAGCAAATATCTTTCCTTGTCCCTCCGTTCACCGCCATCCACAAGTCTCCGATGTGCCTTGCGGGTCAGTCTATCTTCAGGCGGACTACTACTAGCGCCATCTATGGACAATAGTAGGAACCTTGACCTATTCGAGCGCCCGTCAGTCTCTACAAACGTGAACTTGCATCACAGGTCGGCCTTCGTGCAATGCAAGTTCTGCAATCACTAGACGTAAATGCTTCTGTATTTCAAAGTGACCACCCGTCCATTATTTCCATCCTCAGGACTTTTAAACCTTTCTCCTCCACGCCACAGCCCCGGGTCCGGGCTGGACAGGCAACTTTATCTCATGCGGGCGGCTCCCATTGGAGCGGCACCGCTGCTTCCGAGGGAGCACACCCGTAGCCGGGTGCAGTGAGTACTTGGGGAGCTGTTCGGCCTGTCCTTTGGGACGGGCTTAGCCCCGGTGACTCACGGGCGTCTGCCCAGATCAATGTCTCCCGCTAATTTCTATCATCCTTCCGGCTCTGAAATGGTCTTGTCAGACCAAAGCGGCCTAATCCAACAAAACAAAGAAAATCAATGTGATGTTTTCCAATCAATTGCACTGATAATTATATTCCTTTGTTTGTTTGTAGACTACTTTTTTCGCTTCTTTCCCTTCTCAGTTGTCATGCATGTCACCGTGAACGCCTATGCAGCTAATATCAACTTTGGGTATCGTATCACGTACTATTTGTCAGCAATATTAAACGGTTCTTGTTGCATCAATAACGGGCGAAATTGGATAAAGATAAATAAGCGAAATTAATAAAGCAAAAATATTGATGTCCAATTTCGCCCTTACGATTATTTTACACATCATAAGGTGGTTTTGTTTAGTTTCTTTAGGCACCAAGCATAATTTCTTAATAACAAGCTATCACAATATGGGACAGCACAGCTCAGTCGCCTCCCCAGAGAGGCGGGGCAGTCGCGTGGTGTGCGCCGGGGCCGCAGGCTACCGTTCGTGAGTCGAAGGACGGTCGGAATCCTTCGTTAGCGGTCCTCAAATACGGCCAAATGCGACATCAAATAGCGGCCCCTGAGCCCGATATAGGTGCAGGGTCGGGTAGGCGGGCGGCCCTGCGCCCCGGATCGCGCCGGGACACGCCACCGCTGCTGGGTCAAGCCGCACCTCCAGAGGTGGCGCGGTGGTGGCAGCCGTCCTTCCATGAGCCGTCCCCGCGGGCGCAGACCGATCATAAACGCTTTATAAATCGTCTGCATTGTTCACACCCTTTCATGAACATATTAAGCTGCCTCGGAATGTATAAGGTGGCGAAGGTGCTGTGACATGCTGGTTTCCATTCGGGCTCGCTTAGTAATGTCAGCCGCTCGCACACATGTCGGTGAAAAGGAATGGACGGTGTTGTGAATTTTCCTGATATGGAGTGGTAGTTTGCTTGTTTTATGTGCGATGATTATGAACCTCATTTACATTTTATATTAGTTTTTTATCCAACATTTTGTTTTAAATACATTATTCATCAGTATCAAGAACAATTGGATATTAGAAAGCTGCATAAATTGGAAAACATTGCAACGCTACAAATTGTTTTTTTATTTCCTAGTAAAAAGTACCTTTGTAAAAGCGTTTCCTGATAGGGTTGATGTCGGATATGATTCCCGGACTGATTCGCATTTCTGCCCGCAGATTGCACGTGTTCCCGGAAGCCAAGCACAACCTGCACATCGAGTACGCTGACGAATTTAATAAGGTAGTGGCTGAGTTCCTGGCGGGCCGGTGAGCTGGCCTTACCTCTCGCCCGGCCGTCCTCGGGGCCCCTGACCTGTCATCGGACGAACTGGGGCCACTCTGGCCGCCCTATCGATCCGAGCCCGACCTCAATCGATATGGTAGGCATCCGTGCTGCGTGCCTCTTAGTTTCGGCTAGTGGAAAGCTGCACTGATCTGGGGATCATTCAAGTGTGTGTACAAAAAACAGCCGGGAGCTTAGCGTGGGTCAAACCGATGGCAAACCAAGCATTATCTGGACGACGGTTTTCGGTAAATTACGGTGACTGCTTTTCCTCTATTTTCTAAAGAAAAAAGAAATAGAGAAGGGAGATAGATGCTGCTTGTTTTTTGTATCGCTTGCATATGTATTTGGAATAAAAGCAAACAAACATTGACGTATGTGTAGTGTTTTATTGCTTACCAGTGTGTTCTTATTTTCATCATTTAGCCTCTTGCCTGCATCTTAATTACCTTAACCCTCGCCCTGGCAGGGGGGGGGGGGGTCGATGCGACCCACCCAAGGTTTTTCGAAGATAGCGTAAAAACGGCGGCGCGTGACGCCGCCAAATTTGGCACAGCCTATGGGGCAACCTTTTTACATATGACCTGAAAATTTCAGGTCCGGGTGACCTTGGGTCAGGTCACCAGGTCAGAAAAACCGGTACAAGGTTATGGTCAAATTTCAATTTTCTTTTTGCACCTGTCCAACTCACAGTTTTGGACTGATTTCCTTCAAACTTTCAGGATGTGCTAAGTTCACCGAGTTGTATAACATATAGTTCGTTTTTTTTGAGGTCACTGACCCGAGATCAGTTAGAGGTCATTACGTCGTAATGTTAAGCCTATGGGAAAATACTAAATTCGGAAAATAATGGGGATATCCGCTTCGTTCTATCTTTTTTGTGCTTCGAAACCACAGTACTTAACAGCAGGTCACTTGGTGCTTCTTTGTTTGGTGTACTTATCCATGGGTCAGGTCAAATGAGGTCAACTGAGGTCAAATGACGTTTTTGCTAATAACTTGGCACATAATGACGCTAGAGCTTAGAAAATGGTATCATTGTGTTCCTGGTGATCAGCCGAATCGAATGATATGCGATATGATGCAATTTGGTTAGCTTGAACTTAATTTATTAATTTAAGTTTACTTAAAATTTAAGAAAAACTTTAAGTACACTTAAGAAAGCTAAAAATTATATCATTCGACGCGTCTTGACGTGCTGAGTTCACTGGTGCCTTTCTTTTTGCTCTATCTTAATTAGATGAAAAGTTATAAGCGAAAAACTTTTGACCTGTTTTTAGCGAAATTTTTACATTTATATCCCCCAAAACCCCCCTAAATATTGACCTAGAGCAACCAAATTTGCACAGGGGCGAGAACTCCAGGGGGCCCACCTACCTACCAAATTTGGTGTTTCTAGGTGCCATAGGAGCCAATCGCGGGGGGGGGGGTCGCATCGACCCCCCCCCCTGCCAGGCCGTGTTATGAAAAATGCCCTGCCAGGGCGAGGGTTAATGAACGTCTCTCCTTAACAAATACTAATAAATAAATAAATTGATTAATAAATCAATAAAGAAGGATAAAAATGATTTATGATGCCGATGAACTTCCGCAGTGTATCGTAATGCTGGCTTAGTACCTTTTGCCGTCATTTACCTAAGTACCTTTTGCCGTCATTTACCTAACCTTTTTTTGCGTCCCGAAGGCCGAATACAAAGGAGAGTGATGCAGTAGCAAGTATTTCGTTGCTTTATTTCAGCACACATTCCAGCATATCCTTTTCTAATCCAGGTCTTCTTGTCATCGCGGCGTCGTTTACATCGCCCAGCTGCCTTCTTGAAGTGTGATTACATGCTTTTATCCTATCGGGTAATTCCAACGGTAGATAATAGTTCCCCGGCAGCCAAATATATTAACTGTGTCGTTGCTGTAATTATTTCTTCCGAAAAGGGTTCGTGAAAAAAATAAACGATAAATTGATAGGCTCTAGACTCTAGAGTAACTGCTCGCCTCGCACTTAGCAGGATAAGGCGTTTTAATCCAGTTCTACGTTACAGTAACGTCTAAGTCATATTAAGGGGGCTATTATAAGTTGCTAAGACAACCGCGTCTGAGTCAGTGTCACTTCGGAGTACTATGCCATGGGCAACACACAGCGATGTCGTTAGATTTGTTTTATTCCACGTTGTCTTTCCAAGTATCATGCTCTCCCTGCAACGTGAGTGACACGAAAACAAACGCATCTCATCGACGCAGATCTTTTGATTCCTCACAAATTACTCCTTGAAGTAAAAAATATAAAAATCGGCTGATCACAACGTTTGTAACAAGCGGTAAAGCATTTCACGAGTGCAAACGGCATATTCTGAACAACAGTACTCACAAGCCCTCATCAAGGCCACTTGGTCCGGCTGAAAGGTGGACAATTTGCTGGAATGATGGGACAGTCCTGCCGCCTCCGTGCGAAGAAGCCGTGGCCGGGCGGAAGAAAGGAACGGGGCGATTGGAGAGGAATGGGGGAGGGGCGGGGTCACTGGAGACAGCGAGGCAGGAGTGTCGCGCGCGCACGATGGTGCGTCAGCCTTCGGACGCGCCAGTACGGCATGGCGGAATGACCTCTGGACCCCTGGAGTTATGAAGGACGGGCATCTTAGGCTACCTCAGCCTGGTCATCATCGTAATCTTCCTCGAACTCTCCCTCGTCGTCGGCGGTGGCCTCCTGGTACTGCTGGTACTCGGACACCAGGTCGTTCATGTTGCTCTCGGCCTCGGTGAACTCCATCTCGTCCATGCCCTCGCCGGTGTACCAGTGGAGGAAAGCCTTGCGCCGGAACATAGCGGTGAACTGCTCAGAGATACGTTTGAACAGCTCCTGGATGGCGGTGCTGTTACCAATGAAGGTGGCGGCCATCTTCAGGCCACGGGGCGGGATGTCGCACACCGCGGTCTTGACGTTGTTCGGGATCCATTCGACGAAGTAGCTGCTGTTCTTGTTCTGTACGTTCAGCATCTGCTCGTCGACTTCCTTCATGGACATGCGTCCTCGGAAGATGGCGGCCACCGTCAGGTAGCGGCCGTGCCGGGGATCACAGGCGGCCATCATGTTCTTGGCGTCGAACATCTGCTGGGTGAGCTCGGGCACGGTGAGCGCCCTGTACTGCTGGGCACCACGCGCCGTCAGAGGCGCGAAGCCGGGCATGAAGAAGTGAAGACGGGGAAACGGCACCATGTTGACGGCCAGTTTCCTGAGATCAGCGTTCAGCTGACCGGGGAACCGGAGGCAGGTGGTGACACCAGACATGGTGAGGGAGACGAGATGGTTGAGATCACCGTAGGTGGGGTTACCCAGTTTCAATGTGCGGAAACAGATGTCGTACAACGCCTCGTTATCAATACAGAAAGACTCGTCCGTGTTCTCCACCAGTTGGTGGACGGAAAGGGTGGCATTGTACGGCTCCACAACCGTGTCCGACACCTTGGGCGACGGCATGACCGAGTATGTGTTCATGATTCTGTCCGGGTACTCTTCCCGGATCTTTGAGATCAGGAGAGTTCCCATGCCGGAGCCGGTGCCGCCTCCAAGCGAGTGTGTGAGCTGGAAGCCCTGCAGGCAGTCACAGCCCTCGGCCTCCTTGCGGACCACGTCGAGGACGCTGTCCACCAGCTCGGCGCCCTCTGTGTAGTGGCCCTTGGCCCAGTTGTTGCCGGCGCCGGACTGGCCGAAGACGAAGTTGTCTGGCCGGAAGAGCTTGCCGAAGGGCCCGGAGCGCACCGAATCCATGGTGCCCGGCTCCAGGTCGACCAGGATGCATCGTGGCACGTAGTTGCCCGCTGGAAGAGAGAAGGAGACAGTGTTAGCCACACAGTGCATTTGTTACCGGCGTGTGACATATAAGATCCATTAATAAATAATGCTATACGAAACTGTGAAAGCATATGACAACCCTCTTCCTACGGCTTTTCACAAAACTGTAGGCTTCATCCATTGGCCATCTTAAGGGTTGAGCTAGTTGGTCAGAGGGTAAACAACTGGGCCAGCAGGCATTAAGCTGTCGACTGATGAGAGATAACGTCTGGCGCCAGCTGTTTTAGTTCACGAGACCACAGGAGGCACAAAGGCGCGGCGATGGTCGCCCACACCACCAGGGGCGCGACGGTCGTTCGGCCGGTCGTCCGAAGACCTGGCAACCTCGGCACGTCACATCTATGCACCGACCGAAATGGGCCACTTTTTGTGGCGTGCGCCCGCAGCTGAGCGGCCTCCCCCGCTGCGCCGGCTGTGCACGTGCCGCGCCTACCGCGCCGCGCCGCCAGTCACCTCCAGTCGCCCTCCTCGCCGGCGCTGAGTCAGATCTTGATCAGCCGGCCGGCCGGCCCAACACGGCGAGACGCCTGCGCGACCGGGCCGGCATTTAAACGGACCATATTCGGCCGGCCGGCCGGCGGCGAGACACCGACTGCCATATAAGGAGAGAGAGAGTGGCCGACCAGTGTCGTGGCCAGCAGGTCACGTGACCGGTCGCCGCCGCGGCTGCCGGTGCAGCGGCAGTTGCAGCCAGCTGTCGGCTCAGCGGCGCTCTGGACGGCTATACGACGTTGTTTGCACTTGCCCTAGAATGCTGCTTCATAGTTGATAGCCGGCTAACGCCTCCGCGGCTCGTCGGGCGACGCGGCTGCGGCGGGCCGACAGTGCAGCGGGTCAGCGGTGTCGGTCTGGGCGCTGACCGGGCGCCGCCGGCCGTCCCAGACGACCTAACGGGTCGCCGCGCCGCCAGCCAACGGCACTAGCAACGCGTGCAAAAGTGGGCCGTGGCAGCGGACGAAAGAGCGGAGCGGGAGTGTAGAGGAATGGATAGACAATTCCGTCCGGGGGAGACGGCGAGGGAAGGCAGCTGAGCAGGGAAAGTCGAAACTCGAAAGGCAGAGCGGCCGTGGAGTGAGCTGCAAAGCCTACAGCGAGGCCAGGTCACCAACTGAGCCACCTGTCTTGGCGCCAGGCGACCTGCGAATCCTGTGACAGAGACCGACATCAGCCCTTGCCCGCAATGCGCGTATTTGATGATCGATATAACCACCATGAAGTAACAGATGGCTCGTTCCCAATCTCCTTATGATTTTGGCTCGGACACCATCAAAATCTGAATATTCTAGATGCATCGAAGGTTTCCATCATGTTACGCTAGCACTGCGTCGTAGATTGCCCATCCTGTATCCCGCAAAGGCTGCAGGTAAAAGCCATGACCAAATGTGGACATCGGCGTTTGATTTGCCACAGAGATGGAGCCGATTAGCGCGAGCAGCGCGTCGTGACCACGCTCTGACGGCGGCCGCGGGTCAGGGACGTGCCGACCCGGGGCGGCGGGCGTGAGGGAACGGTTTGGAAGAGAACGTGCCAGCCCCAGCGGCCACGTCAGCCGCCCCAGACACGCTCCCGGCGCCGGACAGTGGAGCGGCCGACACCTTTCTCTTGTCAGGTCCTCAACACTGCCTGAATCCCAAATGGGACAGACCGACCACAGTGGGGCAAGAAGTGGTGAATCGAGGAAAGGGTCAAGTGTCTGGAAAGGGCCAACCGGCGACCCTGCTGTTCTTGCAATCTGACCGTTTTCATCATACTCCATCGCTCGGTTTATGAGCGGCTGTTCTAGCTGTTGTGGGGCGGCTGTTCTGCAATCAGGTCGAAGTCTGTGCAGGATCCACCCCTTACTGCACACGGCGCCATCCCCAGAAGTGAAGAGCACGTTTTATGGCACATCACAGTTCAGTTCAGTTCAGTTCATTGTATTTTTTTCCATATGTAAACAAGAACAACGAACAAAACAATAGAGGATTGGCGCAAAAGCAAAAAGCTTAAATCAAAGGCGCCTCTCCAATTAAGTTAAACAAAGAACACATGACCAAACCAAAGTATCAGAAAGCGTCGACCCCGCCCGAAACCCGCCGAGCCAAAAAAGCAGACAGTACCCGGCCCCAGGCGACGGACGACTCCAATCGGGCCAGCTTGCGTCATAGTGTCATGTTTTGTGTTTTGTAATGTAGTGTAGTGTTATGTAAGCAGTGTGTTGCATTAATATCAATGGTACTTAAATGCACTAACTAAACAGTTATGTTGTATTGGTAAACCGATTTGTCTCTACAATAAATGTCTGAAGGTGATGGGTGATTTGTGTGCCTTGATGCTTGTTTAAGTCTTTTGCAAAGAGAAGGGTGTCAAGTTTTAATTTTGCTGAGAAATTGTCAAAATTTGGAGTGATGATTCGAACTGCATTTATAAGTTTTACTCTTTGTGTATGGTAAAGTGGGCACCAGAGTATGAAGTGAGTTGTGTTCTCATCGTGATAACCGCAAGCACATACTGGGCTGGGTGTGTTGGGGTGTTGTATATTGAACAGGTGTGCCTTGAGAGTCGTCATGCCCACTCTCAATCGTGTGTGTAGTGTGTTACGCGTTTTGTTGCCGAAAGAAAAGAAAGTGGGTGGCTCTGGTGCCCCAAATCGCTGCCAGACTTGACGAGCAAAAGCGGAGCGGGATGAGGTGTTACGCAATGTGTCTGGGAGAGTATTCCAGAGTCTTATTGTCGAAGGAAAAAAGGCTCTATAGAAAGAAGTGAGATTGGTAGGGGGGAAAGTAAGAGATTGAGCATTGCGAAGTCTAAGTCCCGTGGCGTCTTGTCTGGTTTCTGTCAATATGTCTTTAATGTATAAAGGGAGAGGAGGATGATTGAAGTAAAGTCTGTGAAAGAATAGAAGCTTATGAATTAATCGTCTTGTCTCAAGTCGTTCCCATCCTAGTTCGGTAAGTAATGCGGTAGTTGGTGTTCGATAAAGCGTCCCTGTTACAAGTCTGGCACAGCGGTTCTGAAGCGTCTGGAGTCGGATGGCGTCAGTTGATGTCAAATGTCCGTCGTAAACAATATCACAATAGTCGAAATGAGGTGTTATATAGGTAGAGTAAATGTTGTTCAAGACTGATCTAGGAAGAAGCTTAGCCACGGGATATATCGGTCCTAGGAGAATGTTAATTGTCCGAATGACGTTATTGATGTGTGCGCGAAAGTGAAGGTCCGTCGAGAGTGTCAGTCCGAGATGTTTATGACTTGTCACGGTCGGTATGTCCTGCCCGTCAAATGTGAGTGCTGGAGGACAGCTGTCTCGTCGGTTTGTAAATGTCTGTTGTAGTGTCTTTTTAGCGTTGAAGGTGATGGCCCAGTCAGTCCCATATCGTTTAATCTCGTCCAGGTCGTTCTGCAAGGAGCGTCTATGATCCTGACTGTCGTGGGGATGGGAAGAGTAAAGTGAAGTGTCGTCAGCGTAAAAGAGAGCGTCATTTTTGGTCTTGTTTGATAGATCGTTGAGGTAAATTAAGGCCAGAAGAGGTCCAAGCACCGAGCCCTGGGGGCAACCGGATAGTATTTTTTGGGATGATGATAGACTGTTTCCAACACGAACAACCTGTTCGCGATCTGTAAGGTAAGAGTTAAGCCAGGCTAGCAGAGAACCGGAAATATTACACTCGATTTTGCATTTTAAAAGGAGTCCATCATGCCAAATTTTATCAAAATATTTCGAGATGTCAAGATAGATAGCTGTAAAGTTTTGACTTTTGTTTAGAGCAGAGTATAGCTGGTGAGTTAGATACAAGAGCTGAATTTGTGTGCTATGGCCCGGACGATATCCACTTTGTTTTTCTGAAAGTAAGTTGTTTCCATTCAAATGAGAATATATCTTGGAAAAAACGATTTTTTCGAGAATTTTAGAGAGATTGGGAAGAAGACTAATAGGACGATAGTTTGTTGGATCTGAGCTAGATCCCTTTTGCTTGAAGATTGGAGTGACACAGGCTTTTTTCCAAAGTGAGGGGAACCTTCCTAGTTGAAGTGATTTGTTAAAGAGTTTGGACAGAGGTTCAGCAAGTAAAAGTGCACACATTTTTAATAATTTGTTAGGAATTTTGTCCGGGCCTGTTGCCTTGTTGATGTCTAAGGAATTTAGAATTTTGAGAACTTCGGGCTCGGTGACTTGGACATCCGTTAGCGGAGGAATAGGGGGAACAGGAATAGGGATTTCAGGCATTTGCAAGTTGTGTGTGTCTAGTCGAGTCTGGGATGCAAAGTGGTCATTTAAGATTGTCGCTTTGTCAAAGTCGTCTGAGATTGGTATGCCGTCTTGATTTATAAGCGGTGGCATGCTACGATGAGTCCTTTTTCCGATAATACTGTTTAAAATTTTGTAATATGATCGTGGGTCCTTTTTATGGTCAAGAAGTTTGTCAATTTGGTTTTGTATGTGTCTATTTTTAAGTCTTTGGTTTGTCTCTGTGGTCTTGTTTCGCTGTCGTCTCCATCGTTCCCAGTCATCGTCCGTGTTACGTCTTTTTGCTATGTTGAAAAGCCTATTCCGCTTGCGTATTTCTCGTTTAAGTTCAATGGTAAGCCATGGTTTGTCGTGAGATTTTATTGTAATTTTCCGACTTGGAATGGCTGCTTTGGCTGCAGTTAATAGAGCGTCAGTCAAGTTATATGCTGCGTCGTCCAAGTCACAGTCCAAAAGTCTGTCCCAGTCAGTGTCCATCAAAAGTCGTGTCAGTTTGTCTGCGTCCATATGTCTGTAGTCCCGCCTGTGGCCGCCTGTGGACCAGCCGTCGCCTCTCTGTCCGCCGGCGGCCGGGTCCCGCGCCGACCCCGGAGGTGGCTCCGGTACAACGGTCAGACTGCAACGGTCCCGGGCTGCATAAACACGCCCTTGGCCGGTCTGAGAACCGTGACAGGGAGGGCGGCCGGCCGCCCGTCCTGGGGCATTCCACGATAGATCGACCAAAGCCGTACACCCTCATATTTTATTTTTTGCTTAAAATTGGTCTAATGGGTTGTGATGGGCGGGGAAGCCAGCTGTGCCAAGGATTTTTTTCTTCGAACAACGGTTTCCGAGATATAGCCTCAGGCAATTCCTGGAGGTCACGCTGCAACCCTATGTTTGGCGGCTTATAACTCAGAAACTATTGGTTTTCTATGGTAAAAACTTAATATGGTTCAACTCGCAATCAACCAATAAACGTTTTGGCTATCTCGGATTTTCGATTTTTGAAAATTTTGATCACGTGACATCTTGACCTTTTTTTCGAAGAGTGACCTTGATATTTTCCCAACTGAAAGTCGCAATTATGTCTGATGACGATTAAAGCCTTATCAATTGTCATTCATATGCGCAAATAAAAAAGTGGCTTTCGGCCTGCGTTGACCTCAGGTCAGGTCATTTTTATGACCTGTCCATTATTACGAGCGAGAGCGACGCGAGATCTCGATAATAAAGCAAGATAGCGACAAGCGGTAAACGGTACAGGATTCACACGGATAAGGTCTACAATTTTTACGGAGGTCATTTTCAGGTCAGGTCAAAGATGACGTCACAGGGGTAAAAAGGAAGTCAAAATAGTTATGGCTGTACCTTTTGATCTAATAAAGAAAGAGACGTGGAACAGGCACCGTTGTGTTTGCTTTCGCCTAGCGCCAGTTCGTTTTGAATTTCAATACCGATGACCTAAGATCAGGTCAATTTCTTGACCACCCCATTATAAGTCAATTGGGGAAAAATCAGCTCCCTTGTTTTTACACTAAAACGCGTCGGAATTGCCTAATATACCATGAGTGACTTCATACACGACTAACTTTGACTACCTTGAGACCTTTTTTGCTCTTGGTCAACTGTGACGTTGCTCTTGGGTCATGTGACGTCATTAAAGGTCACCAAATGTTTTTTTGCTAATAACTCCTTACAGGTTTGAGATACAGCCGCGCGGATAGGCTCATTGTATTCAGCTCGTCAAGGCCCATCGAATGATATATATGATGACCTTAAGGTCACGTGACCTAAGGTCAACTTTTGACCTTGACCTTTCGAGGTCAACATACACATGTTTCGATGCGGATCAACGAGAGGATCACGATGGTGCTATTAGTTTGTTCATAGCTGGGATACTTTGAAAGTTATTCGAGAAAAACTTCATATATATGTAGTGCCGCCATTTAGACTTTCTTTTTACCCCTGTGACGTCATCTTTGATCTGACCTGAAAATGACCTGAGTAAAAATTGTAGACCTTATCCATGTGTACTTTGTGCCGTTTACCACTTGTCACTATCTTGCTTTGTTCTCGAGATCTCGCTGTCGCTCCCGCTCGTAATAATGGGAAGGTCATAAAAATGACCTGACCTGAGGTCAACGCAGGCCGAAAGCCACTTTTTTATTTGCGCATATGAATGACAATTGATAAGGCCTTAATCGTCATCAGACAAAATTGCGACTTTCAGTTGGGATAATATCAAGGTCACTCTTCTAAAAAAAAGGTCAAGATGTCACGTGATCAAAATTTTCAAAAATCGAAAATCCGAGATAGCCAAAACGTTTGTTGGTTGATTGCAAGTTGAACCATATGAAGTTTTTACCATAGAAAACCAATAGTTTCTGAGTTATAAGCCGCCAAACATAGGGTTGCAGTGTGACCTCCAGGAACTGCCCGAGGCTATATCTCGGAAACCGTTGTTCGAAGAAAAAAATCCTTGCCACAGCTGGGTTCCCCGCCCATCACAACCCATAAGACCAATTTTAAGCAAAAAATAAAATATGAGGGTGTAAATTTTATTTATTTTTGGTCGATCTATCGTGGAATGCCCCCTCTGTTATCACGGTTTGGCCTGGCTCGGAGATCAGTCGGAGGTCAGCCCCGCCGGTCTCGCTGGCCGTCAGGTGTCTCTGGCCCTGCGTCTAACCGGCCATGACCATCCAATGACTGTGGAGAACTCTCACCGCCCCCGCCCGTTCCATGACATGACAATCGCGACGCAGCGCAGGCCGCTCGCGGCATCGGTGGCGCGCCGATATTTCAGCAGAAGCTGACGTCAGCAGTCTGAGTGTTCGGCTGTCCGCATCAGCAGCACCGCTGCCCCTGCTCGGGCGCGGCTGCTCGGGCGGCGCGCGGCGGTCCGCACCGCGGGCGTCACTGGTCGGCGCCGAGGTTCGGCCCGCCGCCGTCGAGGGCGGCACCGTCGCGGACAGCCCGCCCGCGTGACCGATGAGGTCGGAGGTGCGTCCGGTCATCGCCTTCGGACGGTCGCCGGGCGGGCGGTTTCGCTACAGCGGGGTAAATCGGCACGGCGTTCGGCCGCTCCAGCACCATCATTTCACACTACCCGTGTTAAATTGCGACATCCGGGAACCCCTCCCAGTGGGTGACGGGCAACACCAGTCGGTCGGCGGGCCAGAGCGGCCATCTTTGAATCGGTGTGTCCTTATTATTTTTAAGTATCACCAATGCATTGCAGAAGAATGCGAAGCATCCGGACGTCAGTGGTTCAAGTGATATCTTTGGACAAGGGTTGACAATGCATAGCCCGTCGATGGGTTAAAAATTACATCAGGACATTCGTTACGAGATGTGTCAGCACCCTATCGATGACATTCAAACCTACAACACGACATGACAACGTTCTGATAAAAAACATCAATCAAGGTTATCCAAATCACGTTTTCTGGAGACAAATTACCTCAACTTCTGGGTAATGATAATTCGGTACAGCTTCGTTGCAGGGAAGCATCACGGCAACTTATCTCATAGCCTTCGGAGAATCATGTACCCTGCTGAGTCTCGTGCATAATTGTGGATGGAAACAAGAAGTTCTGCTTGTCCCCAGCTCAGTGGAAACCGAGACCCAAGGCCAGTGGGGCCCCCGGCGCCGGATGCGGGAGGTTGAGGCCAAAGTTGGCCACCGGAAGCCTCCTCACGCCCCCTCCCCTTCCGCTGCGGACCACTGCCGTCAGCTTTCTGCCGCCTTCCAAGAGACAAGTCCCGGCCGGCTCACGTGCTCAGCGCGGGGTCAATATCCAGCGAACGGGCTCCAAGTGACGCAATCGGCCGAGTAAACACCTTTTTCTGAGCGCGCCCGGCGCCCGGCTGGCCAGAAACAGCTGGATGGTGTTGTCGTTGGACTTGTGACCGCGCGAGCACTGGTGTTGCAACGCCCGACCGGCTACTGCGGACTGCGCGTGCCACTCGGAAGACATCAGGCTGACAGGAAGCACGTTCCGGTGGCCACAAAGCCCAGCAGCCTCGTACTAATCAAGCTACATCAGCAGACGCTATCGATACACCCATCTGAAACCGGAAGTGCGCTAAATGAACTAGGAAAACAAACAGAAACAGCTGAGCTGAACGTGCCTGGTGGGCCACCACAGGATTGGCCGCCCCTCTTGGGCATTAGGTATGTAGCCACTGCTAGTCTTCTCCCGCTGCGGGGAGGCTGAGGTGGCCAGGTGCGCGCTCGTCCAGACAAGTTACCGGCCTAGGGGAACGCAGAGATGCGGTACCTACACCTGGCCCCTCGGGATAACAACTCTCATCGGACGCGGTGCGGTGCTATATTCTGGCCCGTCGCCCATCACTAATCCCGCGTGGTACTCACAGCTGGCCTCGTTGTAGTATACGTTGATGCGCTCCAGCTGGAGCTCCGAAGAGCCTACGTAGTTGCCGTTCGGGTCAATGCCATGCTCGTCCGAGATCACCTCCCAGAACTGAAAAAAAAAACACAGAAATACCACACGTCAACACAAGGCACAAAATGAACAAATGTGAGACAAGCGAAGCACGCAATATGCTGGGGAAAGGCGTTTAAACTCCTGAATAATAATGAGCGTTCACACGATGACCCATTCAGGGAAACATCCTTACAGACAAGGAATCACGGCGACGGCGACGGCGGCGGCCATCCAAGCCAGTTGGTAACGTGCGGGCTGCAGGGTCAGTTTCCGGTGCACCCGGGCCGCTGCCGAGGCCCCTCGGGGACCGCGATGTGCCCGGGTGTTAAACACAGTGTGTTGAAGCGCATTAGAGACTCGACGAGATGATAAGGATGGACGAATCGGGGAAAGGCGAGCCGTTGAGACCCTGGGCGCGCCTTTTCTTACGGCCTTTTTAGATATGACGGAAGGATCCCGAAATAGGATACAGAGGAGCCGGCGCAGACACGGAAGATTCTGTGGTGGAACCGGTCCATTTTTTATCCGACCCGGGCGCCGTCCGTAGCCATAAATGGAGTAGGTGCCTACCCTGCTGCCACCAGCTGCGTCGCGTGGGGGCCACCTCACTGCTAAAAAGGGTCTAAATCTAGGTCAGGGCGGTGGGGTGCCGGCCGAGTGACCTTGGTCCCTCACCGCGTCCGTCCACGTCAGGGCAGACCAGACAACAACAGGTCAAACCAAGGCAGACAACCATACCAAGGCAGACAGGCCGAGCCAGCCCTGTGCACCCCGCCCGTGACCAATGGCCCGCAACTAGGGAAGTGGTGGTGACACGAACTGTTGGTCATTTCAGTTAACAGTCGAGGTCAGCGAATGCATTCTTGCAGTCAAAAACTTGACGCTGAGTGTGAAGCACCATGAAGGAAATGAAGTCAAGAGTATTTCCTCCATTGAGGAATGACGGCAGACTCCAAGGTTAGATCGCGAGTTGTCGGTCCTTCAGCCTGGACTTCCTTTTGCACACGGGCACCCCATGTTCACTGTTCAGCGTTCAAATGAATCCTGGTAGGGGCTGGCTGTGGTCCCGTCTACCCCCTCCCCAGGGTTGTGCTCGACTCAAAAAAATTTACCGACTCGACTCATCATTCAACTTCAGAAAGCCCTGACTCAACTCTGACTCAAACAAGGACCTGATTTTTTCCCTTGACTCGACTCATGACTCAAGCAGCTCAATGAAAATATGAGTTGACTCAAACTTGACTCAAATTTTTTGTTGAGTCAAGTGTGTTGACTCAAAATTGACTCAGATGAAAAAATTGTTGAGCGGAGGGGGGGGGGGTGAAAAAAATCCGGCAACAGGGCCAGGCCTAAGTTGTTAGGCGGGGGAGAATGAAAAGCTTATATATATTGTTTCTAAAAAGATGAGTCAGCTGACTCATGTTCCTAAATGTTTTTGACTCAACTCAATGTTAAAAGTTATTTTACTGACTCAACTCTGACTCAACTCAATACCTTAATATTTTTGTCCGACTCAACTCTGACTCAACTCACCAGCTCAACATTTTATCCGACTCGACTCAAACCTGACTCATTTTAGTCAGAGTTGAGTCAAATTTCTGACTCGACTCATGAGTCAAGCACAACCCTGCCCCTCCCCCTTCCCTAACGTTCCCTGTGGCGACAATAAGTGCCTTGTTCGCCCCGGTAGGCGCGGCGGCCCGAACAGACACAAAACCACCCCGCCGCCGCTCACGGCACCGTCACGTGACGAGCGTGACGTGATGAGTCACACCTGGCGTCACCCGGCGGCTCTCAGCTGTGACTTGGCCAAGGTGACACACGCACCCCCAGCTAACAGATTCGCGGTAGACGAGCCACGGGACCGCGGTGACTCGCCGCCTGGTGTTTCACAGCCGGTGAGCTCGTTATGCAGCCCTTTCCAAGGACGACTAATGAGATGCGTGACGGTTGTCGCGCCGTGTGCGTCCGACTGAACCTTCTGCGCCGCGCCGGGGCGTCGCGCGGTTCCGGCCCGTTTGAATGCCGCTAGTGACGTCAGCGTCGCCGGTGGAGCCGTCTCGAGCTCGACGGCCGGCGGCGGGCCGTCCTGAAAGTACCGCCAATCCTAACGGCCACCAGCGGAGCAGACTGAGCTCTGCGCACACTGATGTGCGTTGGTAGGTAGAATGAGAAACGCCGGGCTATCTGCTTGTCTCGGCTGTGCAGTGAGCGGGGCGGCACGGCAGTCCGTGCGGCACGGCATGGCGGTCCGTGCAGGGCGGCACGGCAGTCCGTGCAGGGCGGCACGGCGGCCCGCTTACTGGTCCAACTGGATTCCGCAGCGAGGGAAGGTTCCAGGAAGACGCCGGCGGCTGAGGGCCGGGAGCCGACTGGTCGGGTCGGGTGGTCAGCCGCCGCCGGCCGCCATCTGAAGCCCGAGGTGTAAAAACGGCGAGGACTGCATCAGGCTTCTGGTAGCAACGTAAATGCGTTAACCTTTCGTAAAAGCTCTTTTGTACCTACCAGCGTTTTTCATGGTTGTATTTTACTTCAAGGTTTACATTTCTCTTTTGCGTTCCTTTCAGCAGGTCCACTTGAATATGATCCGTAACATCAATCAGCATACTGGATCAAATGAACCTTACGTTTCAAAAGTGGGACTAAAATCACAGAGCAAGCCCTCTGTCTTGCTCTTGGCAAATATAAACCGCAGTGAATTATGGAAACCTGCGAAACCTCCTGATGCTAGGAGTGAGCCGGCCCTGACGTCGGTTGATAAGCGATGGCTAATGGAAGTTCTACCACAGCTAACTGCTCCAAATCATCCGTTTGCGTCAGAATTGACGAGTTAGTGGGTAATCAGACGGATTCTCTGAATTAGCTATTACAATGAGGAAATATCCGGGTGTCATCAGCATAATCGAGCGCCTCTGATCGAGCGATTGGCGGTCAATGACGCCGGTTCGACCGGCACCGGCGGCTGACGCCAGCCAGAGACGGCGCTGGATCAGAGCGGGCTGCTAATGAGGGTGCGGTGCCACAGAGCACCACAGCTTCCTGCAGTTACTGTGAACTGGGATCTAAAGAGGCTCGATGGGTTCGTCGCACGCTTCGCCGTCTGTCGGTAACCGCTCCCACTGGGTTGTTCCTGTCGGTAACTGTATATCGGACTTCCTCCACGAGTTAAGCTGTCAACTCTCGGCCCGAGCCAATTTACGAGAGGCCAGTGCCCGGAGCGGGCCAGGGGTGAGGTGCCAGTGTGAGGTCGACTGGCGCCGCGCCGAACAGCCGCCAGCGTGGGAGCGGAAGTGGCCGGCGGGACGGCTTTTAAATACTGACAGCCGGGCACAGCTATGAGCTAGCTCGGTCGGCCACAAAAAGTGCGCAGATGCTGGTGGTTGAGGCACGCTTCAGCAGCGATAAGCCCGAGATGCCTATATTCCTATGCTGAGCGCGCAGCATCATGACAGTGAACGATCGTTGGCTTCCCAGAATTTGGCCGATAGCATTGATACAATCACGATGAATTTTGCAGCGCTGCGCTCAACCGGAACTCTAAGCTGGCTATCTAAGAATTCTGATGAGCGAAGCTCACGATACAGGCATCAGCGGCGGACGGTCCACCGGCCTGTCAGCGGCCCAAAACAGCGGCGCGGAGCCCCTGCCCACTGCCCACCCGCCCCGTGCGAGCACCTGAGTGGGACGGCGGCCGGCGGGGCCGTGCGCTGGGGAAGGCGCTGAACCGGCGCAAACCGGCTGACACCGGCCCCGGCCCCGGTGCCGTCTGCTCGCACCATTACCGGAGCGGAATGTTATCACAGCTGCTGCGCTCCGCTGAGCGTCGGCAACCGAATGGGGAACCGCGCCGGGAACCGGGGAACGGGAAACCGCAGAGGGAACCACCGAACGGGTTACCGCACCGGGAACCGCCGGACGGGGAACCGCAGCGGGAACCGGCCGAGCGGGGAACCGCACCGGGAACCAACCGAACGGAGAACCACAGCGGCAACCGGCCGAGCGGGGAACTTCAGAGAGAACCTACCAAGCGAAGTCAGCAGTCGTCCCCAGCTAGTCATACAGTCTCAGTGGTCGTCCCCAGGTAGTCATACAGTCTCAGTGGTCGTCCCCAGCTAGTCATACAGTCTCAGTGGTCGTCCCCAGCTAGTCATACAGTCTCACCAGCCGTCCGCACCCGCCGAGTGGCCCATGGTGGTGTCTACCAGGCACGAGCCAACAAAGGGAAGCCGACCGACGACCAGGCGCGACATGCGATTGGAATTTATAACAGCTGCAGAAGTGCAGACGGGCGCCGGCCACGGCAGGGGCGGGCCACCGCTGACCGGGGCGAGGGGGGGGGGGGGAGAGAGACGGGGCGTGGCACCCCAGCGCTGCACTGAGGGGCGGCACCGACACAACTGCTGACGGCTGACGGGTCTTTCCGATTAGAAAGCGGGCACCGCCCTTCAGCCGACACGGCGGTATTTTCGGCCGCTCAGTGTGGCGTCTGGGCTGTCGGCTCTGCCGGCGCGAGGACCGATTCCGGCTTGACAGCTGGGGTGAGCCGGTCGGGGTCGGAGAGACTAGGGAGGGAGGAGACAGTGTAGCCAGGCGGGTCGCTGAACGGCTGACCTTGAACGCCGCTCACGGCCGCGCCGCTCCCGCCCGGCCGGCCATGGTGGCACCGCCGCCGCGCCGGCCAGGCGCAGACACTGCCGTGGAAAATCGACACAGCGCGGCGGCGGGTGTCACCACGCCCCCGGGCTATAACCGGCTCAGGTCAAAAGGTCACGAGTGGCGCCGTCAGAGCGATTAGAACCAGCTTACCCCACCTGGGGAGCGGGTGGCGGCGTCCTTTGAGCCCGTCCGCCTAGTCTCGGGGGGAGGGGAGGTGCTACTGCTGATCAGTCACACCCGTTCCCCCCCCCCCCCCCCCACCTGATTCAGAGGGGGAGCGGGCCGCTGCCAACTGCACAGGAAGTCGGGGGTGCACGCCACGCGGTCGGCGCCTCAGCAGTGATTGCGCCATAGTGGACCGCATGCGGTGCCGCCATTGGAAGAGCGGCCATCGCTGAGCCGAGGGGCGGCGGCGGTGGCGGCGGGGACCCGCTCCAGCAGAGCCGTCTAGACGGCGGCAGTCACGCGCCGGGGAGCGGGAGGCCGCTGGAACCGGTGGGGTCCGCGCCGGCTAACTGCCGCACCAGCGAGCCGACAACAGTCGAGGAGTTCCAACGTAATCCACATGCAGCCGATAGATCGGACGGCCACTAGACTTGGTTAAGTGCGGAACCGAACTTCAACAGGAATCCAATAAAATGCCCAGGAAAAGAGGACTTATTGTCTTGGAGTTAGTTTATGCCTTATATTTGATTAACGTTTATGCAATCCATCGGACACGATTGACATTTATGGTTCACACTTCATAAGATCACAAGACCTCGAGAAGGGGTTTTATCAATGTTTTTTTATGATCGCCGTAACATTTTGTTTCAATGAGGATTGAGGACGTCTAGGGAAGGCTATCGGTGAATATAAAGAGAAAACTGGAAAATGATAGATGAATATGAAAACGTGATTTAAGAGGCATACACAACTTGAATCAACTTATCTTTGATGCATATTTGGGGCATGCAAACAAGAAGATCGAGACAAACGTGACGTTTATGAATGGGGCATTTAAAGGGACCCTCCCACCTTAACATTAGTTTTGAGTTGAGATAGCCAAGTTTGCGGCCAGGCTCAGAAACCACCATTTATCCTGGTCGCAACCCCCGCAGCTTTATGGTGTTCAAGAAATTTCTTCCCTTTACTTGCAGGGTGGGACCAGCTTGGTCCCTATCTCTTAACCATTACGGGAATCTGATGACGTCATCAGGCTTTCGAACGTCCGTTAAATGTTTGACTAAAACGTTTTGTAGCACGCGGTGGTATATGCTGCTTTGCGCGCAACAAATGCCGCACTTTCAAATAAAGTCGCTAGGAATAGCGGAGATCCCAAAAAGTAAACAAAAGTAAAAGTCTAATATCTTGAAAACCGGTGAATATTTTTCGATGAAATTTGGTAGATATTCGTTTTTGCTCTTTCTGAACCGAGCGACATCACTTTCATGCAAATTCATTAACTTTTTTGAAGGTGGGAGGGTCCCTTTAAAAGGCGGCTGAAATCCTTTGATGTCGCCGGGAACGTACCTTTGATCCGATCTGGTTACCGCACTGGCCGGCCTGGAGGTGGAGAATCTCCCGCATATTGTCTGAGTAGGGGTGTGGCGTCAAAATCGGGAACGTGCAGCGTCTCTGTGCACTCCTTCCTGCTGTCTGGAGGGGCTGCCGGCCGACCGGCCACCACTACACCGGCCGGTCGGTGCCGGCCGGTGACGTCACCGGCCGGAGCGGCGCTGCCATTGGTCGAGACAGGCGGTATGCCATATATGGAGAGCGGTGCTTGGAGCGCGGGCGGCCGATCGCCCACCGAGCCGGGCTAGACGGGGGGACCCTTTCCCGTGCCTGTCAGCGGGACTTGGGAGAGTGCAACCGGTCAGCTGGTGGAGAGGGGAGGGGGGGGGGGGCTACAACACAACAGCCGCACCTGTGCGTGATAAGACCCATAAGTTTCGACAGGGAATAGATAAGTATATTTTCCTTTTCCTCCGAAAACATACCACTGACGCAAGTTCTTCAACAAATCTGCGATCTCTCCCAAATATCATGCGTCAGTACCTAAGTCTCCTTTGGTCATTTTCATGGCCACCTTGAGTTTCAGTGGCCTTATCAAGCAAGTGTAATTTTAAGTATACCTCCAGGGGCGTCGCCACAGCTCCTCAACTTGTACGGACACATCCCGTCAGCCGTCATGCACCCCCTCAGACCTAAACAGAATTTGCCCTTTCCCCAGCGGGGCGCTAGCGATGTTGCTCATACTGTTGCAGCATTTTATGTAATTTTAACCCTCGCCCGTATTCGTGTTTTGCCAGCGTCTACCGTACAGGTGCAGGGGTCCGTCTTGCCGTTTGGCCCCTGATAGAGCTAGAGCTTCGCGGAAAAAACAAACGCGTTTCCCGCGACGAGAGGAAGCCGATGATACCCAATTTTAACCCGGCAGTTGCTGGGGTATTTCGCCACCCACCGTTTGCTGGGGGGGGGGGCGTTAAACGCCCCCAGCCGATAACTCGAGAACCAATAGACGCAGCGAAACGCACGAGGCGGCAAACGAAAAAACGCGACGAGACGCTTCAGATGAGTACTTTCAATTTGAATTTTGAGGTCACAGCTCGGGTCAAGGTCAGGTCAAACACCTGAAATCGGGCTTTCAGTAGCATGGACTTCAGGACCTCGCAATGGGCGCCTCTCGTCATAAACTCTGTCAAAACGGTGCACAATCCATCATATAAGGCCTACAAGAGTGTCAGCTCCATGTAGGGGTCAGTCAAGCATAGGTCAGGGTCAAGGTCAGGTCAACCGGGTAGGCACATATCCCCGAAAATCAGAACTGATATTCGCAGCCTGTGACACATGTTTTATGGGTAATTTGGGGCGTAGAACACGATGGTGACATTAATTTTATCATATGTGTACGTGTTTGGCTCAAAAAGTTAAATTTAAGAAATGCATGTATCATGGTCGTGAAGTAGTCACGAGAAATTGCCAAGATTCACTTCAAGATTTTGGAAAATGCGGAACGATAATCAATAATCGAAGATAGCCATTTGATTGTTCATAGTATTGGCAGTCTGATGGCGTTTACGGCATGTCTGTATGTCTATTCTGTGATTTTATATGATTTTTTGAACATATGCCGTTTTTGGTCGAAAACTCAGAAATCATGACGTCACTAAAACCTCGATATCTCAAAAATTTTCCGACCGATTTTTTTGAAACTTTGTCAAAATAAGCTTCAATCGATTCCCTACAGGTACGCAAAATTTGGCGCGCCTGCGGCGCGCCGTTTTTATGCTATAGCCCGGCGAAAAAGTGGGGGGGTTTAACGCCCCCCCCAGCAACTCGCGGGTTAAGGTCCTAGGTCATTGGTTGACCTTCCAGGTTAGGTCAAATACCCAAAAGTCGGGAAATTGGGACTTGTTAAAGTTCGTAAAGTGGGGCTGTTATGGGGTTTTTCGGGGTGCTGATAACGAATATCATGTTGGTTTTGATCACAGATAATGTCTTCATGCATTTAGGCCAGGTCAGGTCAACCAGTAGGCGTCACGCCGGCAATCCATAGTAGGTGTCGACCACCACTGACTAGCTTCGTAACATTATACGTAGGCACCAAAACTACTTCGTAAATCTTCAAATGGGTGCTAAATTCGAAATCAGCTCCAAAAACTACCTCATGAACACGTAAAACTCGAAAAAGTAAACAAAGGTAATCAAAGTGATAGACCTTGACCTGACCTTCACGTGACCTTGACACCCACAATAATGCATGGGACCAACATTATTTCACATGTTTCAACGTTTACAACCACAAAAAAAGACTGGATATGCGCGGATAATGTGAGCCGACATACGCCAAATCGCGATTCCGGCCGAACATGGTATCGAGAATCAGATCACAGGTCAAAGGTCATTTGGGTCAGGGTCATGAAATTTTCGTAGTATGTGTAAAATTGATCAACTCGAGGGTACTGAAAGTTTCGTCGCTTTCAGCCGCTTTTGCGTGAGTTATTCGCGAAAAACCGAGAGGGAGGGGTCCGTTCGACCACCCTATATGTAGGTGCGAGGGCTAACCTTGCCGGCCGAGGGGGAGCGGGTGCCGCCTCCCCCCACCCCCCATCCCCAAAGTTTTTTTTTTTTCGCGATAGCCCGGGACACGCCGGCGATAGAGAGCTGAAACTTGGCATACCTGGTTTTTGATTCAAGCCAAATCTTGTGACACAAACCGCATTTTCAGGTCTGGTCAGGTCACTCACCTATGACGTCATAAGTGAACCTCTGCACGGTCTTCAGATGTCGCTAATTCGCACCGCTCTCAGTGCCAGAGGAACTTTCACAGGAAGGTGCAACTTACAGGACGTAGCATTCTCCAGAGGTCTCACAAATTGCATATCTCGGATTTTTCCTAAAGGTCACATGAGGTCAGGTCGTTCACGTGATTCACCATTATGTCAATGGGGAAATATGGGAACTGTTATTTTGGCGCCGGGAATGATCTAAAACTATCTGAAGCGCATAGAATCGTGATTTCCTGCACTCCTTGCAAGGTTCAATGCTTCACTTTTTCATTGTTGACCTTGCGTTATTTATGACGTTACTATGGTCATAGGAGTTTTTCGTCAATTATTCCTGAACAAATTACGCTAGAGAGTCGGGAAAACCACAAATGGACTCGGGAAAACCTACCGAATCAAATGCTATGCGATATGACCTTCTTCGACCAACTCCGTGACCTGAGAGGCTTTGACCTGACCTTGACCTGAGGTCAACACCTTAAGTTGACCTCACCCAAATAAAAATATACCATTCGACGCGCCCGAGCGAGGCGAACACGATGATACCAAAATCGCGGCTCTGCGGCAACTTTTTGTTAAGTTATTTACCAAAAACCAAACCCGTGACTTGGGCTACTTGACCTGACCTCATAGGTCACCGGTTGACCTGAGACCTTAGAATTGGGTACCAATCGCTGCCTCTCGTAACGGCGCACACGCTCATTTTTCCACGATGCTCTAGCTCCATTAGGGGCGAAACGACGAGTTCATTTTTGGTCGTCGAAACTTGTACGGACATTCCGTACAAGTTTTTGGACTTTCCGAAACTTGTACGGACACTGTCCGTAGTGTCCGTAGTGGTGGCGACGCCCATGTATACCTCCTTGGTTTACGGCTACCAGTTTTCTAAAAAAGAAATACGCCCCCTCCCCCCTTGGCTCCTGTACGACACCGGCCCATCGCTATCTCGCCTCTATAATTGGGCTAGAGCTACGCGCAAAACGAGCGTATGCGCGGTTAAGCAGCAACTGGCATCCAATTTCAAGACCTCAGGTCGACTGGTGACCTCGGAGGTCATGTTAAAGATCCAAGCTCTTAAGATCCGGCTCCTTTTTTGTAAATAGCTCTCCAAAATGTTCGCAAAGGCATAGGCGGCGGAACGGGGCGGGGGCACCGGGGCACCCGTGCCCCCTTGATTTTGGCATTTTAACATAAGCCCTATGGGCGTTGCATGGAAATAATGGGACCAAAAGTCGGCAGTGCCCCCCCCCTTAATTCAAGGTATTCCGCCGCTACTGGACCTTAGGTCAGGGTCAGCCGTCAGTTCAAAGCTGGTCAGGTGGCCATCATCCACGTATGCCATAGTTACATGGCTGGAGTGCTGAGAGCATACATGGCATGGCACACGTCCTTGCTGTGATTTTTACTTTTAGGGCAGTTGTGATGCTTTGCAAAGTGTCTTTTTTAGTGGGGCGGTGACTGGTGAGTTAAATTACGACTAGTTACATGCCTTTTGTACAAAGTTTCTTTGATCTGTGCGGCCTAAAAGACGACATCAACCTGTCTGTGTGTGCTGCGAGAAGGCAGCAGCGTTAGAGCGTTACACTGGCGCTTCCCCGGTACCCAGGCCGCTCGGGACGCCGGTCGGTAACCAGACGGCACCTGTCAGACAGGGCGCACGGCGCTGGCTCCGGCTCGTGCGCCGCTGCACATGCAAAGGAGTCCCGCGGCGGGCGGCGGGGAGCCGCGGGCCGGGCTGCGGCGGCTGCAGGGGCGGTCGGGCGGGCCGCCGTGCCGGGGAGGGCGTGCAGACCGGTCCGCTGCCGGCCGGTCCGCCGCCGGCCGGAGCGAGGACCAGCTGTTGCCGCCGGAGTCCGTAGCCGCTCAGCAGGTCAGCCTGCAGTATCGCCGACGGCGCCATCGTCTCCGGCGGGGTCGAATTGGCGCCGGCAGTGGTAACCTCCGACCGGCGGGTCATGTGGGGCATGTGACCTCCCCTCTAACACCGGTGGACCCGCCCGTCCGGCCTCCCCCGCCGCTGGTGGACCGGTCCGGTGACGGATAAGTAGCCGGCGTATCAGACCGTCTCCTGCACGGTAGCCGATTTCTTTTTGATGGCTTCTTCGGACAGTGCAGGAAGCTTTTGGCACTAGCCGCTCTTCGTAAAATATCTTATTTGCTCAATACCTACATGCCTTGTATTGCCTTTGTATTGTGATCCGTGATAAGTTAGGTGAAGGAGAAGCGAGCCACACCCTCCCTTATACGTTACCGTCACCGCATTTGTCTGTCGGTCCGCGAACAGCAGTAGGCTCACTCGAGCCATGTGAGGAGTGATTTGCCGGCACCGGGTACTAATTTAGCGGTCAGCTACACCTGTCGTATGCCTGTCGTGCCAGTTGGAACTCAAAATTTCACGCACTATATTCGTCATACAATTTGTTTGAAACCAGGGCGGCGGATAACGAATAGGAGGACGTACTTTAGATATACATACACTTGCAGTGCTCTTGCTCAGTGGTCTTCTCTGGGGTAGCCCGGGAGGACT